AAATTTCCCCAAGTCATGGGAAGATTTTGGTATGACTTTAAAACATAAAATGAAAAAAAATCACTTGAAAATCTTTAATGCATTCCATAACTGTTGAGGAAGAGTATAAGAACGCCGACTGGGCTACATTGTACCTATGGAATTTCAACCAAAGACTCATATTGTAACCAGGGGAAACAAGATCATTACTCTAAACATAAACAATCATCTTCTTTTAAACCAATAAAGGCCAAATTAAAAAGTGCAAAGAAGCCAAAGGCAAACCGACCATGCTGGAACTGTGGACAGATGGGGCATTGGGCCAAATTCTGTCCAAATAAAAAGGCTAAGGCTCAATTTGGTGGACCTCAAGTCAACGTGGTGACCGGAGAAACTAGTTCCGATGGGTATGTTTCTATTAACCCCCAAGTTTTCACTATTTATAATTCCAATGACTTGCTAATTGATACATGAACGAATGTGCATGTATGTGCTGATTTTGATGCGTGTTGGGATCGGATTTTGATGGTTTTCCTAGCTTTAACGTGTTGCAAGTCTCAATTTTAGTTCAAGTTGTAATTACCAGACGTTGGGTCGAGTTTTGTTGCATTTGGAGTCAAATTGAAGAAGTTAGAGTCAGGCAATCGGCGCTTGAGAAGCAATCAGAAAGAGTTCGAAAGCATTCAAGAGATTTGGAGGCCACCGGGAGATTTGGATCGACCTCGTTTGCATCCGGGAGCACTTGGAGCAAGAAACGGTCAAGGATAGGCCAGGCACGACCGTGCCTGGAGAAGAATCAAGTGAGACCTCACTGCCAGCCAAACACGATCGTGCCCGACCCTGGGACGCGCGTATGTTGTGCATGCACGGTCGTAGGCACGATCGTGCCTGGCTATGATTTGTCCTGTTTCAGCTAGAATTCGCCTTTTTCTTTAAATAAGGTCTCCATTCTACCATTTAGGGGTTACGAACATTACGGAGAGGCTTATGGACGAATTTAATTGCGTTTTTACATTATTTTCTTCAAGAATCCTGAGATTATTTGTAAGTTCATCTTTTTAATTATGCACGATACATAATATATTAAATTGACATATTAAAAATATGATTATAAGGATAATACATGTGATTATCGGAAGGAATAAGGGTACCTTCTCTAATTTTTTGCTGCAAAGTGCAGCATTTAAAAGTTTTGGAGATCAACACTACGAAGGGCCCTATGCTTGCTTCACCGACCATCTCCATAGTGCCGGGGATGCGACCAAGCTGCGTTGAGTTAACAAATTCCGCCTACAAAACATAAAAAACATTGCTTGAATGCAAACAATAATTTATTTATTTTTAAAAAGTAGAAATGGATTAAATATGCCACAACATTACAATTGCACTAGCTCTATCGGTACAAAGCTTCAGTACATAATCTCCGCATTCAAGCAAATATGTACTTTTTAGAAAGTACATATTTTTGCAACCATTGCCAATATGCTCCTGAGGTAGTTCATTTTTCCATCCAAGAATGTGCCCCTGAGTTAGTTTGAATGAATACGCTTTCCATGCGGACCCACTACCTAAATGATTATGCATTTTAACACCATTATCAAGCTTCTAACGTATTCGTCTCTTGCTTCGGTTCTCAGTTCCACCACCTCTATAGGCTGTGAGCCCTCAAAAAGAACGGCCTCAAAACAGATTCCCTGAAGTCAAAGTACCCTGAAAAGAGAGTTGTTACTTTCCATTAACCAAACTAGTCAATCGACTCATGCGTTGCACGAATAACAAATGAAATTATTTTATTTTTGAAATTCATTGATTTCACGAATAATGTATATCTACATCCTAGCTTGTTGTAAAAATTAAAACCTAATATCGAACTATATTATAGTACGTGTAAGATAGTTATTAAAGATACACTAACTCATACGGAGTATGAAATTATTAAATAAATACTCTACCATGTATCCCCAAATTATCATTTCCATTTAAAGTAATAAATATGTATTTAAAGTTATTTTCACATCCACTTAAACATCAATTACATAATTTTTATAATCCTTATTTCACATGAAAGTCAACTATGATCAAGTTTTATGAAAGAGTATCAATTATTATCGTTGTAGTTTATACTCCGTACAATGTTTATATCCCGATTTATCGCGCTAAATATAATGTAATGTTCAATTTTTAGATTTTAAAATTCCATGTTTCTTATTTTAGAACTCGTTTGGTAACACTGAAATTAGTTGAATCGACTAAATTGCCTAATTCAGCTAATTTATGAAAAAATTAAATTGAAAACATTTCTATTAATAAAGTATAGAAAACATTATATGAAAAATAGGGGTAAAATAATCCTATACAGTAACTTCAACCAATACAGTAAAAAGTAACTATAATATTACTTTTTCTTATTATTACACAATATAGCGCACAAAATCAAACGTTATGTGTTAGGTAAAAAAAAATCGTTGTTAAGCCGAAAAACAGAGACACCAAATAGGCTATTATTATGCTATGCCTGTTAATTAACTCTACATGTGTGTTTATTTATCTAACAATTTTGTTTATATTTATTCTATTTATCCTTAATTTTCTAATTTTTAATTTGTAACTTATAACTATTACTTAGACTTGTAACTACTCATTGATTGTTATTGATGATTGAATATTAAATAATGCTTCATTAATTGTGACAACAAATTTTCACTTCTTTTGGCTCCAAATAGAGTTCTATTTGGATTTCCACCATATTGTCTTTATATTATATGTATAAAGATAAATATACAGAAATTAAAGCATTAATGTATAAAATAATTGTAATTTTATTTCTGTAGAAATCACTCTAAATAAGATTAAGGATGTTTTTACTTGGACTGCAATTTACTGTCTGGTCTGGTCTAGTCTGTTTAAGTCTGGTTTGGTATATAGTCAGATTTGATCTGTCTGGTCTGAACTAGTCTGGTAAACATCTGGTCTCTGTATTTTATAACTACGGAAGTCAAGTCTGGTCTGGTCTGTTTAAGTATGGTCTGGACTGTTTAAATCTTGTCTGCTCTGTATAAGTTTGGTCTAGTTTGGGACTGATTATAGTCCAAGTAAAAACATCGATAAAGTAAACAAATAGAAATACTTGTCTTTTATTTTGAAATAGAAATTTATTAGTCATATTAAAAATATTAATTTCTCAATTCCATGTAAAAAAAATTCATTTTAGAAAGAAAACAATGATAGCCTTATTTGTGCACTTTATCTATATTTTAATCCTATTTAACAGATTTTCTCTTTATAATAATAGTTGTATTGATGTAATGTATTACACAAATTAACATACCTGGATCTTGATAGAATGCACCAGCATAAAACTTTTCAGTAAGTGCAATAAGATTGGGTTCCATATAGGAGCTTTTGTCCTGTTTAAGAAACAAAAATCAGTATAATAAACTAATAGGGGCAATAACATTATTTGCACGTCTAACACAGACATTGAAGCACACTCACAAACACACACTCATGAACATATGTATAAATATGACAGGTTCAAATTAAAAGAGTGGTTGTTGATTATGATTGTTTTGTTGATAACTAATCATGCAGGTGGAACGGTGTAGGTGGAATGGCGAATAGAACCGCTCACAGTTCCTTACGGAACAAAGGACATAACTATCCTCAAGAACAAATGGATATTATTAGTGTGTTGTTGACTAACCATGCAGGAGGAACTAATGCAGCTCCATTTCTAGTTCCATAATATGATTTGAATTAATATTGATTGCACCTACTTGATTTTCAAATAATATACTTTCCTTATATGAGTACTTATACTTTGTCAAGAATATTATTTTAAGCAAAAGTATCCTTCTATACATGTCCACTCTATATATAAGTATGAGTACTTATTTAGGTGGTTATTGTCTTTCCATACTTGACTTGACATCCACTCCTTAAATATTGTTTAAGTACCTTATGGAAAGTATCTTTACTTGATGTGAGTGCATGAATTATAATTGGAAGTTGACCATAGCACTTATATTTGTTAAGTGAATTCTTTCTCTTGCTATACGGATCCTTGTTTGAATTATGTTCCATATTTGATCCGTTGCATAGATTGAGAATAACATTCTGCCGTTTTAAGAGTTGGTCACAACTTGTTTTCTTTGGTAATAAAGTTAAGTAGCTTAAAATATTCCTACTTAAATTAATCACACATGATTTGAGTGAGCCGTTGCATTTATGAAATAATCTTCTTGTCCGTGATTGGTATGCTTCTTTCGTATATACGTGATTATAATATCTTAAGTATCTTAATATCATGGCAAGTCCATAAATTTACCAAGCAACCAACTAAGGAAAGTAGAGCAACAGACGGCCTGCATGAAGCTATAAATATGACGGAAGACCAAGAGAAGAGGGTGTTCTTGACCGAACAATTATAGAGAGAAATACTTATAAGAGAGTATCAAGACCAAGGCAACTGGACCTGCTTACAGAGTTCTAGATATAATTTCTTTTCCCTTACTTGTTTTGTAATTGAAGTTTGAGGAAAAGCTTAAGTGTAGCTTCCTCTGGTTGGGGTCGTGTGTGTGAGAGCTTTGTTGTAAAGCTGAGAGGCTCTCTACCTGCAAGGTAGAGATGCATAACTCTTCCTAGAGAGGATAGAGTTGGGGTGGCTCAAGGGTAGATTAGAAGAATTTACCTTGTAACCAAAAAAGGCTTATTAGTGAAGTTGTTGAAAATTCCTCCGAGAGAGGTCGATGTTTTTTAACCCCTTTGAGCCAATGGATTTTTCCTCTTAAATCCTTGTGCACTTTACTATTTCGCAATTCCTTGGATCCCACATAAAGGTTAAAACCTTGGGAAGAGATCCAGCAGCATGAATACGGTTGAACGATTGGAGGAAGGATACTCGACTCAACGACCACCGTTGTTCAACGGCAAATTTTACCAATTCTGGAAGAGTCGAATGGAGAACTATCAGGTATGGAATGTAATTGAGGCAGGTGATAACGTCATTACTAAGGTGGACTCCGAAGGTAAAGTTGTTCCTAAACCCAAATCTGAATTCACTGTTGATGATTAACGTAAACTCGAGCATAATGCCCAAGCATTGAAATATTTGATCTGTGGACTTGGTCCGGCTGAGCACAACAGTGTTCTTGAATGCAAATCCGCAAAACAAATGTGGAATTTACTCGAGGTTACACATAAAGGTACCTCGCGTGTAAAAAGATCCAAAATTGACATATTTATGCGCAATTACGAATTGTTCGTGATGAAGCCTAAAGCGTCAATTCGGGATATGGTTACACGCTTTACTAATATTATAAATGAGCTTTCAGCACTTGGAAAGGATATTACTGTGGAAGATCAAGTGAGAAAAGTTATGAGAAGCTTACCCTCCGCATGGAAGCCCAAAACTACGGCTATAGAAGAAGCTAAAGATCTCTCCACCATGACGTTAGAAGATTTGACCGGTTCGCTCATGACATATGAGTTAGGCCTACAAGAAGAACAAGATGCCGAAAATGTGAGGAAGGAGCGAGGAATTGCTCTCAAGGCTCGAGAGGAAGAAGAAGATTCCGAAAGTGAATCGGAAGATGAAATGAGCATGTTTGCCAAGCAATTCGGAAAGATGTACTGAAAATTCAAAGGCAACCGGAACAAGCAAGGTTAGAAAGGGGTTCAATCTTTTAATAACCAAGGTTGTTTTGTTTGTGGGTCCTTTGAGCATAGGGCAAAAGACTGTCCTCAAAAGAAAAATGATAGAACCTACGACAAGAACAAGATCAGTTCTCACCGACGGTCCAGTGAAGATAAAGGGTTCAACAGAGACCTCAAGAAAGCAATGATGGCAGCTTGGGGAGATTCATCCGATGATGAAGAAGAAGAAGAAAAAGCCATAATCATGCAGGGTTATGCCTCATGGCTAATTCTGATGAAGAATCCGACCAAGAGAACTTCGAGGTAAACTTGGAAAACTTTCTTTCTAAATTTGATTCACTTTATAAAGGCAAAGTTCGGAAATTTTTTAAAAGATTAACTATCGAGCTAAATCAAAGTCTTTCTGAAAATGAACATCTTAAATCACAAATCACCGAACTTGAGTCTAAACTCGAGGAAGCCACTAGGGCCAAGATAAGGCTGGAAACAAAAGCGGGAGAGTTAATAGATGAAAGGCTCAAGTACAGTGAAGTGGTTTTAGAACAAGATAATCTCATTTGCTCACTCAAGCTCGATAGTATGAATAAACAAGTTAATGATGAAGAAAAACTTCTAAGAAAAATTCCAGACATTGCCTTGCTCATTAATCATCTCAATCGCATTGAGGACGAGAGACAAGATTTCAAAAACAAACCGGAATACCAACTCTATAGTACCAAGGTCAGAACCAGGTCTAGACAACATTCTAGAACTGGACCCTCTCGGTACAAAAGAAAGGAAAACGAGACTGCTGGTCTCGGATATATTCCAAGAGACACTCAAATGAATCAAAAACCGAGTTTTCAGAACCAACCCTTTTATGGTAACAGAACTAGAGGACAAACTAGTTCTAGGCCGTATCAAAGGCAATCTAGAACTGGACCAACCTGGTTCGATAAGTTGGTTCAAAGACACAAAACGGATTATGGACAAATACCTAACCAAGAATTTTATAAAAGGGGCAAAGATCTTTTCGGAAATTGGAAAACCAAATATGTCGATACATATGATAGCCGAATTTGCGGGCATTGTGGCAAAGACGGTCAATGTTAATACTGGAACAGGCCTTAGAGAGAAGCTTTAATTTTAGTAAATATTTCTCAAACAAATACAAAATGGATCCCAAGCAGGTCTGGGTTCCACGCACTAAACCTTAATACTGGAACAACGCCGAGTGAGGGGGAACAATCACTGGTTCCTAGACAGTGGTTGTTCTAAGCACATGACAGGAGATAAATCTTTATTCCTCTCACTATGCCCATTTAGTGGTGGAAAGGTGACGTTTGGAGACAACAACAAAGGAGAAATCATTGATGTGGGAAAAATTGGAAAGTCACCTGACCATGCAATAGACAATGTTTTCCTAGTCAAAGGTCTAAAGTTTAATTTTCTTAGCATTTCTCAGTTTTGCGATCGAGGTAACAATGTAGTTTTTGATCATAATGTATGCCGCATTGTCAATAACGAATCTCAGCAAGTCATACTAGAAGGCAAGAGACTTGAAAATTCCTATAAAGTTGATCTCGACTTGTTGCCAAGCATAAGTCTAACTTGCCTAAGCGTTATTGACAATGATCCCCTACTCTGGCATAAAAGGCTGTGCCACGCTAGTTTTTCATTAATAAATAAACTCAAAAATAATGAATTGGTAGTCGGGCTACCTAAAATCAAATATTCCCTTGATCATATTTGCTCCGCCTGTGCCACCGGAAAACAATCTCGATCATCTTTTAAAACAAAGAATTTTGTGAGCACAAGCAAGCCCATTGAACTAATTCATATGGATTTGTGTGGTCCAATGTCAGTCCGAAGTCGGGGAAACAAAGAATATGTTTTAGTTATTGTTGATGACTTTTCACGATATACTTGGACTATCTTTCTTGCAAGTAAGAAAGATACGTTTAATGAGTTTGTTGTTTTTGTGAGGAAAGTTGATCATCAAACAGAGCTGCAACTAATTAAGATCCGATCTGATCATGGAACTGAGTTTGACAACTCACTATTTGATGCATTCTGCAAGGAACGAGGCATAGACCACAACTTCTCTGCCCCTAGAACTCCTCAACAAAATGGGGTAGTAGAACGAAAGAATAGAACTCTGGAGAACATGACTAGAACAATGCTGATTTCCAGTGGTCTAGCAAGAAACTTTTGGGCAGAAGCACTAAACACGGCATGCTGTATAATTAACCGTGCTATGATCCGTCCACTCCTAGGGAAGACACCCTACGAACTACTCAAAGGGAGAAAACCCAACATTAGTCATCTAAGAACTTTTGGATGCAAAGTTTCGTCCACAATAATGGGAAGGACAATATTGACAAATTCGATGCAAGAAGTGACGAGGCAATCTTCCTCGGATACTCTACTCATAGCAAAGCCTACAAAGTTCTAAATAAACGAACTCAATGTCTGGAAGAAAGCATCCATGTAAACGTTGGAACAAACCTTGATCAAACTGAGGAACCACTGGACAATGAGCACATCAAGTCTAGAACTGAAGAAGGACCCGGACAGACCACAACTAGTCAGATTGTAGAACCAGCAGGTCCAGGTCCAGATACCCTATACGAGCTGGTGGATCAACCCAACGCTCCAAGAAGGTGGAAGCATCATCGATCACATCCCCTGGATAACCTCTTAACAGATCTAAATCAGGGAGTAACAACTAGATCTAAACTTAGAAATTTTTGTGCTTTCTTTGCTTATTTATCACTTATAGAATCGGAGAACCATGAAGTGGCTCTCTCCGACATTGACTGGGTTCTAGCTATGCAAGAAGAATTAAATCAATTTGAGAGGAACAAGGTGTGTCATCTGGAACCAAGACCTAAGAATAAAACAGTAATAGGCCTTAAGTGGGTATTTAAAAATAAGCTTGATGAGCATGGACAAATCACAAGGAACAAAGCGAGGCTAGTCGTCAAGGGCTATAACCAATTTATGTAAAATGAACGTCTATCAAATTTTTTTTGGAAAATGATTTTGAAAGAGGAAAAATAGATAAAACTCTTTTTCTAAAAATAAAAGATCAATCCCTCTTGGTTGTTCAAATTTATGTAGATGATATTATTTTTGGTGTTACTAACGATTCACTTTGTGATGAATTTTCCTCTCTTATGAGCTCCGAGTTCGAGATGAGTATGATGGGTGAACTAAATTTTTTTCCTCGGTCTCCAAATCAAACAAACAAGTAAAGGAACTCAAATATCACAACCAGTGGCGGACCCACTAAGGGTCCCACGGGGTCCCGGGACCCCATGGACCTACAAAAAATACCTATATATATTTGTATATATTTTACATAAAATTAAGTAATAAGTGTATTTATACCATTGAAACTAGATTAGAACACAAATATGGAGCTAGAGCAACGGTTGGACGCCCAATCTTGAGGCTCTATATGTGCGAGAGGTTGAGGGATCGATTCTTCTGGCAGTCCATTTTTTTGAAAATAAAATTATGGAACAACTTGGGGCACCTACTGTTATCAGCACTTCTATAGCCCAACTTTTAATCTAAATTTAATTTTCTCAACCTATACCCCAATTTTTTTCATAACAAATACTATTATAAAGCCAGTATGTATCCCCAAATTTGAGCTTATCTATTTTATAAACTAATTTCATCATGAAACACGTAATTTTTGAATTCACGCACTGAATTTGTAATAATTAAAATAAGCAAGTTAAAATCATTTTTCCGGCGAGATGACTGAAGTTACCGTAAGAGCATCATCTTAGCCACTTTTTCATATGACTTTTTTTCATATCTTATAACATACTATCCTTCGTATCACATTATTTACAACATTGGAATACATTATTCATATACTTTACTTTGACTACATTTTATTTATTAATGTATGTGAATTATTTTTGAAAAATATTGTTAAATCCGTCTCATTATTAAGTCTTATAATCTGATTTTTATTTTATTTTTACGAATACAGAATTAAATATAATGACGGTCAAAGTTGTGTGCTGGCAAACGTGAAATGTTGACGGTTGCAACTAAAAAGAGACAGAGGAAGTATAATTTAAATATCATTATTTCCTAATATAACAGTTTCAGTCGCTTGAGCCATTATGGCATAGTTTGGCTTGATGTGATTTGATCTAAGACTAAAATCAGCCCAACAACAAAGTCCTTGAAGTTACACAAATAAATTGGTAATTGTATTAAATTAAAATAGAAACAAAGCTAACGAATATATTTTAAATAAAAATCCAAATAAAATAATGCGAAGTAATTGGATCGAAATTTTCAAATGTAGGCTTTTTTAAATTTGATTTCTCATATGCATGTCCATTATTTTTAGTTGATAGAGGACATTAACTTTATAAAATTTTAGTGCCCGTTTAGTGACTCTGTTTTCGGCTTATCAGGCTTATCAACCAACTTTTTAACCAAACATGTAACTTTTGATTTTACGCGCTGAATTATGTAATAATAAGAAAAATAAGGTTGAAGTTACTTTTCAGGCTGTATTGACTGCAGTTGTTGTAGATGACCATTTTATCTTTTTTTCATATCATTTCTTCTTTATTTTATTAATATAATATATTTTAAATATAAATTTTCATAATCAGCAGAAACAGTCAATACAACCACTTCAGTCAGAACTTCATAAATTTCAGCAGAATCAGCCGATTCGGCCGATTTCAGTGTTACCAAACGGGCTCTAGTTGATAGTAGACATTTCTTTAAAATTGTTGTATACGTTATGTTAACTATGATATGTTATGCTATTTTACTATTTTACTTCTTCTTTTTATTAATTTTTTATTAATTAGTTACATTACAGTTGGGACCCCGTGATTCAGAGTTTCTGGGTCCGCCACTGATCACAACAAAAATATCTCAAGCAACTACTCAAGAAGTATGGAGCAAGTGAAAGCAAGATAATGACAAGACCAATGGGAACAAATGACAGGCTGGATGGAGACGAAGCAGGAACTAGCATAGACCAGAAGAAATACCGAGGAATGATCGGGTCTTTACTATACCTAACTGCCAGTAGACCCGACATAGTTTTTAGTGTAGGTCTATGTGCCCGGTTCCAGGTAAATCCCAAGGAGTCTCACCTCAAAGCAGTCAAAAGGATCCTCAAATATCTCAAAGGAATCATGAATCTATGCTTATGGTATCCACGTAATGAGGATTTTAATCTTATTGCATATTCAGATTCTGATTTTGCAGGTGATCTATTAAACAGAAAAAGCACATCTGGAACGGCTCACTTCCTAGGTCCTTGCTTGGTTTCATGGAGTTCTAAGAAACAAAATTCAATTGCTCTTTCAACAGCCGAAGCCGAATATGTAGCAGCCGCATCTTGTTGCTCACAATCCTTGTGGATCATGCAACAAGTGAGTGACTACGGGATCATCCTAAATTGCACGCCAATTCTATGTGACAATACTAGTGCAATCAGCATCTCAAAAGATCCGGTCATGCACTCACGAACAAAACATATCCATATCCGGCATCATTTTCTGAGAGATTGCGTGGAAAAGGGGCTAATCAAGGTAGAATATTGCAACACCGACAAGCAAATTGCCGACATTTATACAAAGCTCCTGGGAAGAGAAAGATTTGAATTAATTCGACTTGAACTTGGTCTCATCAATGCTTAAAACTGCTTTCTCCTTTAAATTCTAACCCCTGCTAGATCATTATTTTTTTCCTTTCCTTCTGTATAACTTAAGGAGAAATCATTTTTCTTGATTTTCATAAGAAGAGGCAAGAATTTTTTTTAACGTTTTAAACTGCCATTTTTTTTTGGGGTAGTGCAGCTAAATAATCGGCCACTTCCTTCATCAAGACTTTTGTTTGGAAATAAATCATTAAGTTTTGGGAAGTGTAAAGGAATCCCAAGTACTTATACAACCCCCACTTCCAAAAACATACACCTTCCATAAACTCTCCCTTCTTCTCCTTCTTTAACGGCCATGGTTAAAACCAGAGGTTGTGCTCCTCCAACTGCACCGCGTCGTTCTAGCCGGAATCGAAGCGCACAACCACCGCCACCTTCATCACCCACTCTGATTGAACTCGAAGCCTCTCCTCCTTCCAACATGCAATCTGAATCTACTGATTCTTTACCACCATCCCCCGCATCCTCTCAGGGGGAACAAGAGGAAGCCACTTCGTCTCCAATTAAGCTTTCTAAAGGAAAACCCCTCACACGCGATGGGAAGTCTCTGCCTCGAAAATACACCCGGAAGAGAGCAATTGAAGAAGGTATCATCTCTGGTGAGGAATCAACCAAAAAATTTACCTAAAATAGGGAAAGTGGCTGAAGAAGACGTTATTCGACTCCGAACGCTATATATGGCAAGAGGCATTGTGAAGGTACTCACTATTCCTTTCGCTGAACTCTCTTCTCAAACTTCTGACTTTGTAGAACTCATTATGTTTCAAAAATGGGGGCATCTCTTTGAAACTAAGCACTGCTGCTCTGTTTACCCTGATTGCTTGTCCGATTTTCTGGCCAATCTTATAATTAAAGAAGATGTGTTAGCCTCTCGAGTGTGTGGTACCAAACTACGTTTCACTATTCAAGAATTTGCTAAAGCACTAGATATTTCTTATTGCGGTGAATGCCATACAAGAAAGAGGATTGACCACTGTCCACTGTGTCTCAGGTTGAGGCAGTAATTTTTTTTGACCCAAACG